ATAGATCTAATGGGTTTGAAGTATGTTATTAAAATTTATTAAGAAAAAATATCCTAAATGTTTTTAGTAAGCTCTTTTACGATGATTACGCTTGCAGTTATTATTCTGCTCTCACATTAACAATGGAAACCGCGAAAAAACTAGGTGACTTGAAAAGTGGATAGTGCTCAGTTCCTTTTTCCAACGAAATTAGATAAGGATACGAAAGGATGCTGATAAATATAAAGTAGAAAAATCGCAGCCTTTAATAATAAACTATAATAATTCACATGAAATCCTATTACTATCAAAAGCTAAGAGAGTAAAAGCTTACGATCTACCATAACACCAATGTTGTTGTGTGGTGAACGAAGTACAAAGTTTTCTTCATAGTATATTTTACCATCAACACGAGGACTTTAATATTGCAACGACTATAGCCAAAACGATTGATACAGAACCTACTGATACAACTAGGCTGGACATTTGCCTTCCTGTCTGCAATCTAAGTAGGACATTTCAAAGTATTGTAACATGTTTTTCCAACACGAAAAGGTTTGTCGTTCGTTATGAATGAAATCAAATGTTCACTGGTGGTACCACTGTAGCAGAGTTATCAATTAGAAATGCAAAGGTAAGAAATACAGGTTCGCAACGGGCAAGAAGGCCTTGCACGCAGTTCTTGTTTTGAATGACCCGCCACAGCGAGTATTGGCGAAAACCTAGAAGAAATAAAACCATTCGTTCGGCAAGGTAACCAAGACATATCTTTGGGAGGTAAAGATCGGTAACTAAGACTGTGCCGAGAAATCTGGCGTTCAAACCAGTACAAGTCCATTATCGACTGTCTCAAGAGAATCTCAGTGCATTGAGGAAGGAGCCGGATTTTCCCCTTCACATCATTATAGGCGACAAGGAATAGAGGGAAGACAGATATGACGTCGTAACAAAACCACGATCCTCTAAGTCTCGCTTCAAAATAAAGTCCAGAACGTAAAAAACTCAAAGATCTAAATGACCTAAATAATAGCCTATATGATCTAAATGGTCTTTCCCCATTGCTGGGGAATTGAGCCTTGTGAATTTATGTAGAACGGCTCTAGTATCACAAATGTATATTACCGCGTTTCAAGAAAATAAAACCTTGTGCTGACAGAGGTTTTCAAGGTTGATCTATGGGGGGACAAATGGCGACTTCTTTACTAAGATAATATACCAGCTTTTCCACTTACTTGTATAACGCTTTTGAAGGAAAATGTTTGTGTGCCTGTGTTGTCCCGTCTTTGTCAGATCAAGCCGTTTCAAAGTAAAAAAAACACTTGACAGGAGAAAGCTTTGCTAAGATTGAAAAGAAAGGTAGAGCTATGGTCTACATCTATATAACTGGATTTAGGAATAATTGTTTTAACTATTGAACAAAATCGGTAGTATTACATGCAGTGGCAGGTACTTTAAGTATGCGTAGTTGCTACAAAGCCAAACTTTTGCTTTTTACCTGCTATTATACATATACACTCTCTTTATTTCATCATACTACGTTGTTAAATATAAACTACACATGTTATCAAACCATCGTGGCTTCCATCCCCAGGGCGGATATAAGTATCCGGTCTACAAGTCAAGTAAAATGTTTTTTACAATTTCAGTTTCTCATTAATGAACAGTCAGGTACTGCATAGTCGCGAAATAACAAGTATGGGACGTTGCTAGGAGCTAACAATATATAAAACCAACATCGTAAAATTCAGAACTTCTGTAGGCCAATCAACAAATAAAGTAGACGCAAACAGCAACGACAGAGAAGGCTCATTTGGGCAAAAATTAGCCCATGTAGAAATTGGCGAGGTTTAAGATTACAACCCTCTCTCGCAAATAAGGCTCTTATAATGACAGGCTCTACTGTTTAAATCACAAAATCGATCCAAAATTTTCTTAGAACTTCCGAAAACTGCCGTCCGAAGCTTTACATTAAAATTGCATCGAATAGACTCATCATTTTTCTATTCTATATTCTATTTATGTTTTTTTCTATTACTTACTATACTCGCTACTTTACTGAAGAATTTACATCTAAAAATGATTGCGCGAAGCCTCATTGTGTGGATTTCAGAAAATCAAAAGCTGAAGAAAGAGGAGCAACAAGTAGACTTTATACTGATAACAACTCCTCTTTAAATTCATCACGCGCATAAATAAATCTTATCTTCAGCTGAATGCTTAATTTAAGAAATACATAGCCATAAAACGTAGCTTTCTTTTTTAACGGAAATAAATTGTCACGATCTCTCTAAAGTCAAAGGCCGAAAATTCTTTAATTTGATTAAACAGCGATCGTTCGATGCATGGGGCATTCGGGTCGCTACGAATGGTATCGCCTGCCAGAACAAAATGTAATGGTATCATTCGCTGACATAAATCGCATATTTGAAAATCACCCATATGCAAGTTTCGTCCCATCAGTGCGGTAACAAAACAACTGAATTCGTCACCAGTATTTTCCGGCCGAAGGAAACCTGGAACAGTTTCTTGGCCTTGCCAAATGCGCACTCAGCCTAAATACACAATTCATCTGATAGAGACCGCATTTATATACGCTTCTTCACGTGTTCTTAGGTGATACCTGTATAACTTTGCCTAGTAGTTAATTAGATACACATATTGCAGGCTCATTAATTGCCTGAACCACATTATTGCAGCCTATTAGTTTTTGCAGGCTATTAGTATTTCAGGATACGTTGTAGTCTAAGTTCGAATTCAGGCATAAATAGACTTCGCTTCGTCCTGGGAGGCAGCTATCTGTTGAAACGTCTAACGGTAACACCGGACACAAAACTCGAAATATAGAGGCTGTCTTTATTATCTAGATTTAGGTTTTGAAGGCGCCTAGCCATCTCTCGTGTGTTTTTCCGTCATCTTTATATCCTTCATCTTAATACCTGCGTTATCGATCACAGTAGCCACTGAATGTCTTAGTAGAGGGAACATAATAGTCATTCCGGAGATTATACGAGTCGCTAGATCGTTCAAGATCAAGGCCTCATACATAAACTATTCCGTCACCAACGATCACTATCGCTAAAAGGATAACTGTCATTAATGAGATAACGATATGTTGGAGTACGTATGAAAGCTGATATTTAGGTTTAAATCCCGCTAATTTCCTCTCGCCAATCAATCGTTTAGGCATGACCTAGCAATTATTGATGCCCCTGTGGATTATCTAGCTTTTTAAGAGGGATCAAGCATTTCCCATTTTCTTTAATATCCATCTGAGAGGCGCCATAAATTGCTGAAACTTGTCCTGCATAGACAAGTGAAACAGTATATATTTTGCCTAAGAGGAATCTAATATTCTAAAAGGTACGCAAATGCCAATAGTCTGAAGACAATTATGTTGTTTTACTTGAGCCTAAAAATGTATTTTCATTTGATGATTTATTGAGGTCGAAGAAAGAGATTGGCATTCTACATAAAACTTCCGATAGATTTCTAGCTGCTGTTGCCTTTTTTATGTCGATCTATCGAATTGTTGGCATAGGCTTACTTATTGTGGGAGGATTTTCATTTGAACATTTTCTCCTAATTTATTTGCAAATTCGGCAATCTCCGGCAGTGGTAGGAAAATTGGGAATTAGTGTAATTTACCGGAAAATCGGTCTGGTGCGCCTGAAAAATTATCAGCGGTAGTCATCTTTTTGCCCCTACTAAAAACTTTTCTGTTTTCTGATACGAGTGGCGACTTCATGACAGCTTGTCAGAACCAGAGGGAGGTCTTGCTGGTTCTACTGACAGCCCCTTTAAATCTGACGAGAGTCTCTCTGATGCGCTTGGCATTTTTTCTAAGCTTTTCACTTTTTACTTAGGCTAGCTAAAGACGTTCGGCTATTACAGAACCGCCTCCATGAATCCCGTGAACTGGCTGACCTCTCCTTTTCGGCTAAGACGATCGTACCAGTAACCATCAGTTTTCAGCAACCCGTTCAGACTAGAAGCCAAAAAATGGGAATTAGAACGAATATTGCATATGTCTTCGGAGGGTCGCATACCTAACTTTACTTATAAATGGCTTATAAAGAAACCTTCCCAACCTAAACGCTGAGACTTGACTGATCGTGAAAGTAAGTAATTTCTTGGAAAGGGCTCCTGTGTACCGAGTGCTTCAAAGTTCAATTATAGGCTCTTTATACTTTCACATATTTAATTATATCATTTAATTGAAAATCACTAAGTGTGTTCCTGTTGATCCTGTGTATCAAAAACATAACAGAAAGATGTTGGTGGAGTTTGAAAATTTGATATTAAAACCAAAATGTCCGTAGAATCAAAATGTGTATATGCATGTTTTCTCAGCCGTGCCTCCTAATATTTAGAACATTTCCTTATAAGAATAAGGAAAACATGTGTGTTCACAAAACTTTTAGCGATTATGAGTTTTTCAAACCTCTGCCATTGAAAAGGTCTGAATTTTATAAAAAATCCTTATCAAGTTCTAGTTTTATTGAAGTGACCTTTTTCATCAAAACTGTACATATTTGCTTATATACAACTGAAACTTTGACTGTTTGTATGTTAATTTGTTCTTCGGACTTAAATTGACCTCGTAAAAAGGGTGAATTGCGATGATTTTTAAGGTCTAAAGTCTTAATCTGCACCATGATGGAGCTGACTGGATGAATACCCTTTCCCCGGGGGACTTCCTTTTATTTGTAGAGTGCAATGTTAATTTGGACGAATTGGTCGCTTCTTGTTATTAATTCAACAACCGTTGACAAATCCTGACAAAAATATGTTAGAAAGTTAGTAGTTTCCTCAAAATAGGCGTTAGCAATTTCTAATATATATTTTTTCTAATGTCGAGACGGTTACCTTTACCCCGATTATCTATATAGTCTGAACCGTCACAGCTTACAGTAGCTCATTGTGCGAAAATTTTTTTGAAAGGGTGATTTTTCTCCTGTGGGGAGCGTAATGTTAGCCTAGTGTCTATCCTGATATTTTTGCTACGACCGATGTTAGAGCTAGTGGGGACAATAAGGTGCATTTTTTATATTTGTCTTTACTCTATATTAGTCTTTACTTTTACTAGGAACCTCTATCGTTACACATGTGTATTAGTAGGTTGTAGAAGCTGAGATAGGCTATATTTTGGTGGGATTTTTATCGAAAAAATATGTTTTCCTTGAAAAATGATAGCTGAATATTCAGATGTAGCGAAAGTCCACTTGCGTACCCGTCAAAAGTCTTCGATAAGTTAAATGGGAATACTATACGTTCTTACATCCAAATGTTAGTTTGCAAGCAAAAATGCCATTTGAAGGTTAAGAACCTAGTCGAATGTGTTATTTGTTTTACTTATCTAGCAATAGCGCGAAAATTATGGGAAAGTTTCTATGCGGGGAATTTGAAACGGTTGTCTGAGCGAATTTTGCTCAGTGCCAACTGGAGGGTCGTAGCGGCAAACATTTCGGCAAAACAGTATTGTATAATACTTTATCGGAAAGATTTCATAAAAGAAGTGTTAACGACATTTCTTCTATGTCCAGTACCGCTTTGTTGGCACCAATTGCTTACACCAAAACAGATTTCGACGAACAGAGTAAGAGTGCAACGTATCTATCTTCCTGTACATAAAATGGTCAGACATCGAATGTGGTAACTGTTTCACTTTCGTAACTGAGCATTTTTTTACATAGAAGTTATAGCTTATTAATGATAAGCTTTCGGTAAGCTGATCTGAAATATGTTGCGCAGCTCTGTACCCAAAATAATAATTTTCTAGTGGAAATGACAGGAATCCTGATTGCCATACCCGTTTGAGTATGTAACAATAAGCTAAAATTGCAAGTTGAGCTGCCTTCGAACGGTTTCTGTCGAATTTTTAGTTAATATTATTAGTGAAGTTGAAGCGGCAGATAAGGACTTTTCCTGACAAAAATCCCTAGTTTATTTTTAGAGAAAGATACTTAAATGCTAAAAGAATATGTAAATATTTATTGTGAAAAAGTAACAAAAGATAAAAGAAAATCACAGCGTAGTAACTTTTTTACTTGAAGGTGATATGAAAATTTTCCCCATCGAAGTATATAGTGGGTATTTCCTGCTATCAATCAAAAACAAATCGATGAGCTGAATCCGAATGCAGTATATATTCGTATACCTGATCTTCAATTTTTTTTTGTCAAAAATGCCGTTTGAAAGATAGAGACTTCGCGTGGTGCTCAATGTAGGGGGTGTATTTTTCTAGATATGGTCATCGATATAATTTTACGAGCTGAGTTAAAATGCCATGCATGTCCCTATAAATATTTTTGAACGAAAACGACAGAAACCCTATTGGTCGTATTGGTTTGTCTATATAACAGTATGTGAAAATGCGTGTTGAACTTCTTCCGAGTAGCTTTTTAGCAAACTAAATGTTAATAGGAAAACCAAAGCGGCAAATGTAGAGTATATTTTTGTGAAAATATCTAAATCCTTTTCGCAAAAATGCCAAAACATCAAAGAATATGTAACAATTTATTATAGAAAAAATGTTTGCCTATGGTGACGTCTCAATGTACCGATTGAGGAATCGTATCGTCATTCATTATAATTTATATCACTATTTATTACCAAAAAGAACTGATAAAACTAAATGCTTGGTAACATTTCACGAACAGAGGATTAAAACTGATAAACACTGAAACCTTTGCGATATCTTAGTTACTTTAATGCGCAACTACTAAGTACGAGAAAGAAAAGATAAAGGAAACTCACATATGTGCGTCGTGGAAACAGACCAACGCTAAAAAAGTCCCGTAATCACGTCTGCAGAAACGACAGTTAACGAGCTATATTAAGTTTGCCTCAGACCAACTTATTTAAAGAGCTACAGCTTAATAAAACGGCTACAGAAGGGTATCGGGTCAGATGGGACGGCATAACTGCAACTAAATAACTATGTGGGGTATATTAGACCCGTATATTAGACCTACAGTCTTCATTAGCCTGGGTAGACGAATCAATTAAAATAAATCAGTGACAGTAACTAAATAAAGCAAGCGCAAGTCGAAGCCCTGCAAATCCATTTGGTAAGCCCTCCGAAAGCTAGATCCCTAAAGCAGGTATCACGAGAGGGCAGCATTGAGCACGTAAGGAAAATGAGCCATGAAGGACTAGAAGATAAACTAGTCGCGAATTTTTTTACCGTTTAGATAAAGACTTCATAGACGTGAGGGACCTTTCGAATCACGTTTGCTTGTAAGCGTAGACTAATCTAATAAGCTCTTTTCGGAGCATCTGATTAGCACTTCCCCAGTATCCCGATCCAACCGACAATAGGGTAGTAAGTGAGCTGGTTCTCATGCAATGATCTGCTATTGAGTTTGATTTTATTAGTTTGGTTAGTAAGATCATTGAACTCATAATTTAAACATATCATAAAGTTTTACATATGAAACATTTCAGCATAGCTCGTAAAGCAGTTCAGGTAGCCACACATTACTTTCACTTTAGATTCCTTGAGTAGATATATTTGAACCTGGATTTCAAAATCGACAACAGCTCGAGACTGGAAAAAAAATTGCAAGTAGACATCGAAACACAAGTAGGACCAATTAACGATTGGCGCACCTCAGTCCCTTTGTCAGGAGCTGCCTGTTTTGATGCATTTTAATAGCATTTAAAAAAAGAATGAATTGTTTTACTTTCTTAAGAGCAATTCTGTACGTTCTTACAACATGATAAAGTGCTAAATCTATGCGTGGTAGGGGAAATTGTTGCGTGATAGATTTGAATAAGGAAATTCTATAAGGAATCTTTGAATAAGGAAACGAAAACATTCTTCGAGTGTAGTAACGGAATGTGTACGTGACACGGGAAAGACACACAATTTTGATTTTTTATCCTATTCAATCTTTTCTCTTCTATCTGCGAATTAGTTATTTCCTGTCCTTCTACGCTGTGATTTATGGGGTTCGGTCCGGTAGTAGTACCTTTGCAACGCTTAAACAACTAATGCCAGAGTATAATTTTTGGTCAAAGATACGCGGCCAACATATGAAGTTACTTACTCAACAAATCTACGTAATGACTACGTTATAAAAAAACGATGTGTTTCGAGAAAAGGTGCTTGTATTACCGTTGCAATACCGGAAATAATGGGATCTTTAGATGCGCCAGCATTGAGATTATTTGAAGCCGGATTTCGCCAACACTGCAAAACTCCATAAAAATATATGGAAAGTAAAGCACGATTTGACCTAGCGCTTTTTCCAGGTCTTGTTGATATTTTTCAAAAGGATTTTCAGCAGACCCTTGGTCGAGCTTTCGCTGTGATAGACTATTCGCACTAATGCTGCCCACTAACTTAATCAAACAGGCCCAGTCAGATGGCAGTATGGTATCTCTCAGCGATCGCTTCCAACCGGGCACGACACTACGTTAGTAACGTCTAATTCAAGTTAGTAGCTTGGGAATTTGACAACTGTGCATAGAAGAGGTACCTATGGATTGCGAGATTCGTGGAATACATTTCACGACCTTAGCACGCGAATTCAAAAGAAGCTTGGCTGATTCCAACGTCATAAGTCTTCGTTTAATCGAAATAACCGATACTCCATTTTGGTTGTTACATTCTATAGTGTACGGAATTCTAGAAGTTTAAAAACACAATCTATTCTAAATAGCAATGGTCTGTTATTATTCACGAATTTTAATATAAACCTTCACGATTTAAAAATTACATTGTAATATACATATCAACGATTATGATGCATCCATGGATATAAAGCAGAAAAAGGACAAATCGAGTTTTCTTTCGGGCTACCGGCTAAGTAAACGGGATTTCAGATGAGGCCCTAATTCCTCTCGAAAATACTGAAGCATGGTAAATATTCTCAAGCTTTGACAATTACTTCGAAAAGTCTAGTGTTATCTAGTGCAATTCTGTTTAAGGAAGATCCGAGTGTGTGTGGAAAACACGAGCGTTTAGATGCTGGCGATGCGTATGTATTAAAAAAAATTGTAAAAAGTATATATAATAAAAGTAGCTATCGATTAATTAGGCAGGTGCTGAAGATATCGAGCGAACGCGATCCCGACAACCAAAGGAAGTTTTAATTTAAGCACGTAGTGCAGTCGTCACTGTTACAGCTAGAGCTCGAACGAAGGGCAACTAGCGAGTAAACATATCTCGTTATCGATTTACCTTGATCCGGATCAGCTGGAGTGTTCAGAGATAAGCGGTACTGGATATTGCATAAGTACCTTTAGTAATCACCACCCAGTAATAAACACTGTAGCTAGATTGCGTTGTTGCTGCTTTGATTACAACTCGTAGCTTACTTTGCTCGTTATAAATGCGCCTTGAAGACACTTTTTGGCTCTTTCAATCAATTGTATCTCAAAATCGTCTAAGTTTGATGAGACCGAGTCCTGATTCTAGGCTCGAATTGATTAAGAACCTTATAATCTCATAAATCATTAGAAACAATGGATGTGGACATACATACATACATATGTAAAGGGACGTGAATCTTTGGGTCTCTAATTAGGCTGCACGTGGTAGTAGTGGAGCTGGACGTTTAACCTAAATAAGATGGAAGTTAAATTTAGGAAGAACAGGATCGTGTCTGGCGATCTTTCAAAATATCAATAAATTCCCGTATTTTGGGATCCTCATTGTCTTTAATGGCGGCAGCTTCGTTTCATGCATCAGAGAACGATGTAAAAAAAGTACTTTGTGGCCTCAGATTTCAGCTTCGTTTTCCCTCATGATGGCACTTCGTTTATTCGGCCTTCAAGATGGTGCCGGTAGTAGATTACCGGATAAACATAATTTGAATGGATTTTCCAGTAAAGATTCTCGAACTATTCAGCCGAGTGGGAGTCTTCCTAGGAGCGTTCTCTGGGCACAAATCTCCTTACCGAAAGTAACTGAGATGTTATTTTAGACTCTCGGAGACCGAGACTTTTTTCGAGTGTTTCAGCAAAAGTTTGCCGAAATAAACGATGAAGTTTCCAGCATAGAGCGATAGCAGACAGTGGTTTGTAGAAAACTTGGTGGATAAACCATTTCCATTTATATAGCTAGGGGTAATAGATTTCTGAGAGCTATTATAAATACCATGTGGGCTATTGCCCCTAGGACCTTCGTTTGGGAGGCTGGCATGCTAGTACTATCGCAAGGTAAGCACTTATGCCGTAAGCTCTTAATCTTTTCACACTTTTTAAGCCGATAAATTTTAAAGCGTATGAATACAGCAACGTAAAAATCTATAAATAGAACCTTTAGATATTCTATCTGCCAGTTGTTACACATGTGTGCACGTTCTAACTGCCACTCGCAGGCGCGATGAGCACTGCTAGAGCTGAGATATGTCTGTTACGTATGTGGATTCAACGTATGCTTTTTTTATGATCCCATCGCTTTAAGTTCTATTGGCGTGTCACTGTTGTTGCATAATAAACTAACAGCTTTCGTTAGATTGGCTGAAGATAGTGCGTCGGAACGCGACGTTCGCTATCCAGTCTTACGTCCGTTCTGCCCTGGCCTCATCACTAATGCGGCAGTGCACGGTGTGAAAAGTATTGCGAGCTAGTTTGTTAAGGTTTTTTGTGGAAGAGTTTGAGGTATCGTTTTCCCAAGAATCGGTCTTCATCTTGAAAACATTTTAAATGCATCCATTGTTGTGAAATTCAGAAATGGTCGTGGATTGTGTGATTGATCGACGGTGACAGTACCGGATCGTTAGAAGTTGTGGGGTGAATGGGTTGGAAAAAATGCTGAAGCAGTAGACATTATATACGAATCTGTTCGAACAATTCTTCGACTTTGGTGTGTCTGAACTGATGTTTGGATCTTTTTCGAAGCATCCGTTATAGCCGATGATATTCCTGCATTCGGTATTATCCTTTCGGTCAGAGCTATTTTTTCGACCGCCGTTGAGGTTCTATTGAATAGCCTTGGTAGACGCATCTGTTTCGTGCTCCCTATGTATAGCCTAGCCAATATCATGGTCACTAATACAAGTATGAGGGTAAGGACGAGACTGATCCTAATTGCCCGATACGTAATTGTGCAAGCATGTTAAAAAAGAATATTATTTATGCATGTGCATAAAGTATGTCTAGCACCAGTCGAACTGGTAATAGAACACCCAGTCCGCCATTTTGCAATCTGGTCGCGTGTATACGTCAAACGTTGTTTGTTCTAAATAAATTTCGAATGAATTTAGATTATATATGTGTTGATATATATAACAAAAAACTCGTGTGGATTTGTGACCTTTTTCTAGATTTTCTATATTTTGACAGGTCAGGAAATCGGTAAATCTGTTTCCTTTTTCAAAACAGGTTGGAATTTTCTAAAAACGCGCCCCTGACTTACCTGTTACCCATACTTGTTCTTGAAGGCACGGGAAGCAATCACAAAATTTAGAATGTTTTTTTGTTTTAGAAGTTTACCCTCCGCATGTGAAGTAAATAAATTTTGATAAAAATCTTAACAACCTACTATTGGCCTATAAGTGTTGCAATCGACTATCCGCACAATCAAATTGTAAAGGTTCGTAGTATCATTTACCTCATGCTTTTTTGCTATATATGTTGGGCATCGTATAGCATTAAGTTTTATTTAAATAGCTCTCTTCGTGTATTGTAACAAAAATCTTTAACTAAGGATTTAGATTCATGTTAATGAATTTTTTGCGCCAGATTCTTGAAAGCCGTCAATGTTTTTTATTCGCGATGATTTTTGAAATAATATGATTTATTGGGTTTTTAAGCGACGCATCATATCTTACCCTAAACGCATTTAATGCATCATGATTTCACGCAAAACGGACAAGTATAATAGTGTTTCTAAGCGTTCCACATTGTGCAGAATGTTAGGCGTTGTTTATTTGCGGAATGTCGTTAGTTTTGATATTAGTTTTAAGGAAAATTAGCTGAAAAAAATAGCTAAATTGTGACGCCTATATTTGTTTCTAGGGTGGCAATAATTTCAATATACATAATCCGTAAATTTATGAATCATCATTCGGATCAATGTGCCGTTGAAATTTATCAGTTATAAAAGAAAAATTTGTTTGGACAACGACGCATTGTAATTCACGGAACAACAGATATCTTGGCGATACTTACATCTAGATTTAGTATTCTACCTACCAAGCCTATTGGTATAATAATAGTAATAACTATTATTGTCAAAATTACGTTTCATTTTCTGGGTCATCTTTTTTTGAGCATTTGAAATCGATGCTAGAAGTTTATGAGCATTCTAACAAGTTTACAGTATACACAAAAACAGTATCATAATAAGACGATGTATTTAAGACCGCTTCCTTAAATGACGTCGCATTTCAATGGTGCTAATTTTTATGTACGGGATATGAAAATTTAATATGGTTGGATGGAGGTACAAGCCATAGTTGAAACCGCGACTTACGCTGATGATTCATTTTATATGTACAAAACCCTAACTGCGGAAAAACAGCCAGAAAAGTTGAGACTATGGATGCTTTTCTTTTTCGCCGAGCAACACGTCGCACGTCCAAGGAAGTCTTGGACTGTACACTGACGAGTTGAATCTTTCGATGTACTTTGTATTAAACGTAAGTATGACGAAGTGCAAGCAGGTGAGTGAGTTTAAAAAAGCATTAAATCCTCTATTGAAGAATGTATGAAGCTCTCCTGAAGATATAGAATGCCCCCGTCACAGGAAGTCTTGGGGTTTACTGCTCCCTTGGAAAGATAACAGTCTTTTTTGTGGAGAATTATTGGAATATATGGAACGTATTAATGGTTAGATACCTTCTTGTATTCATAAAGGTATTGTTTCAATTTAATTTTTAGAGCTTCAGCTAAATTTTTCGGAACTGCACTAAGAATAATTATTATTACTATGGAAACAACTGCTTATTGTAGCATACGACAGATTTTTCATGGTTATCGTAAATAGGACGGTAATCGTAATACCGTTGTTGCTTGTTGGAGAAGACTTTACAAATGAAGATTTGTAGAGGAAGTGATTGTTAAATTATTATTATCATATGAATAAACAGTTGTACGCTCTCGTGTAGTATGGTCAGATAATAAACCGAGTCATTACATCGGTCACGGCAAAAACGGACGCTACTTTGCTTCAATCGCAATTATTATAACCATCACCATCGCTAATGCGGTAGACATTGCTCCCCAAAGTTAGCTAATGGGTTTTTTTTGTCTTTTATTCAGTTCTGTAGCTATTTTTTATGCTATTGATCTTCAGATTTTTGACCGCGTGACAAAAACAACATTCTCCTCAACACCTGTTCTTATCGTAGTTTTTTAAACGGCCTCAAAAATAAGGCAGAACATTTGTGGTTCTATAGCCAAAAGAAGTAGACTTATTAGATAATTATTTCGGTACAAATAGGACTTGAAGCAATCCTTAACAAACTTCAGGCTGGGTGCGTTGTTTCAGGTCAAAGGCATCTTTCTCAAACTTCACCTGAGTCACCTAAAAGTAGTTATTTTAACAAAGAGTCCACACCATACTCTCTTATCCCTCAGTGGCTTCAGTACTTATTAGACCTCTTTGCTTTTTACTATCTGTTTTTAGACTCCCAACTTATTATCTGTGTGATTTAACAAAATACCTCTCATGCTGTATGTAACGCTGATCCCGCGCTAAGCGAGACATTTAAAATAGGAAACCCATACACGGTCATTACTAACAAGCACTGATTCATATAACTCTGACGCTTAATTATTAGAGAAATCAAGATCGGTATACCCGAATTTTTCATCCTAGAACTACATCAGGTTAAAAAACACTTATCACATATAATGCATTATATAGATTAGGTCAAATAGCTTTAATGTTGAATCTCTTTTTTTAACAGCACTTAGACTGAACACAAAAAAAGGCAAGATTCCAGTTTTTTGAAAGTTTATGCTAAACTGGTTGAAGAAGTTAAAAATACAAATCCATCAGGACGGATTCACGGAAAATCCAGCCAACTATCTCAGGTGCTTTCACAAACGATATCCTCTCCCTTTTTTGTCAGGCGAGTCAAAGTCGTTTTCTAATGTACATAATCAACTTCGCGTCAAGTAGTCATTGTACATCTCTTCAAGAGGTTGTGTTGTTGTGCTTACCGTTGGTTTAGAGCAGGCTTATGCTTACTTGGGTTTGAGGAGGCCTTACGCCGTCGGTTGAAGGTTTCTTAAGCTTTTTCTTAAAGATTTGTGGGACTTGGTTGAACGAAATGTATGATCGCTTCCTGCTGTGTAGGATCTCAGACTACCCGGAGAGGAATGCACACTCTTTGGTATAACATCATGAGATCGATTTGTTGAAAAAGAAGTCGAGATGCTCGTTTGAAAACCTCTTGTGCTTCGAACCTTTGAAAAAAGCTGTGCAGCGCTTATTGAAGATGTATGTTGAAATGCATATTCTGCTGGTGTTGATGACTCTCGCGTTATTTCTGTTTCGTTTATTGAAGAGATATCTTCAACATTCGATGTCGCATAGCTTATTACTGTCGACGTTGCACTAGCTATTTGCGTTTGTGTAGTAGAATTGACGGCGCGGAATGCTAGCACATCCCCTAAGTAAACTCCCACTAGAAGCGCCATCACGACTAGAATTGCGCCGCATACCATGACAATGATGAAACCGGCCGTTACCGCTCTGCACGTTGAGTAAGCGAGTTAATAATTGCTTGAATATGCAATTGACGTTCGTTCATTACTTTACCAGAGAAAATCAAGAATTACATATGACATGAGTGACTGCTGCTTGTGAATCATAGAGCATTTTATTGTGCTCTTGTTCATACTGAACACTGTTTTGAGTTTAGGTTCCAAAGGTAATTCTTTCTATATTGTGAAACAAATGCATTTTTAGATCCGTCGACAATTCACCTATTGTCGAGGCAAAAAAGCTACCAAAACTGCTCGGAGCATACTTTATATTGAGGACGATTAAAAATGGAGGCTCAGATTCATTAAGCACAGTGCATTTAGGTCCGGTAAATGTTCTGGAGGAAGATAACTGACACATCGAGAAACGACGTCTATGAGTCTATCATCAAACATCTTCACTCAATAAGATTTACACTATTTTCTTACAGTTACCAAATAATATAACAAGCATCTTTCGACTCTAAAGACATCAAAACAATCATCTTTAGACTGAAATTATCTATATGAATGGAGTTCAAAAGCCACTCAGCAAACTCTCAGTTTAAATCGTACATGGAAAAACTGCCGATGGGTTTATCAGGTTCTCGCCGTCGGCAAAAACGAATAAAATCAGGAAATGTTACAGATACACCGAGTGATAATTTGAGTCTTAAGTTTTGGCATGGTGTTGAAGGCACTTATCGTCTAAATACTAAATGTTATAACTCGTTATGTTCTCTCAGAATTGTTTGACGCCTTCAGTTCTTCAGAAATCCGAACGCAGATATCATCAGAGACATAATTATAAAATGCAAGAGCTAAAAAAAACACGATTAGCCCGCACTTAATGATAATGTCATTTGAAACAATGATTATTATGCTATAATCTGCACAATTGCTTCTACGGGGAAAGCACATCTGAGAATGAAGTGCATACTAAATGGCTCCAATATAGTCACTAAAATAATAATATTTTACTATGAATAATTACATGGCGGTACTATAAAAACGAATGAAACCCGCAAAAAGGTACTTATAGGAGGTGTACAAATAAGAGCCCCGAATTCTCGGTTCATATAATTCTTCATTAGGCCGTTTTAAATAAAGTGTCTATCAGTACTGAAATACACACATTTTAACCAATAGTGAACTGAGCGATTGACGTGACCTGAATTAAGATGGGATAATAATTAAAATGCTTTACCTGAAATTTGTAAAACTGTATCTGTCAAACTTCTATTGGTTAAGAGCTTTAACTACACCATTATGTTAAGCAAATCTTTTTAAGGCCTCCTTTTACAAACAAAAAGATTCCTGACACGTAACTAACTAATTGCACTTAACCTATTCATAGAAACAAAATCCGGCTGATTCACCAAGCACTGCCATATTTTATACAGTGCTCTTTCCTTACATATATCGCTATGCTCTATAACAGCAGGCTAATTAATCACTGGGAAAGCTAGTATTACTTTATTACACATCATGTAAAATTGCCTTCATTCCTGATATCTATTTATGACAAACTAGCTTATCAAAAAAAAGTTTCTGGAAGTAGTACTAGATCAGTAACTATGAGCCACGTTAGAGGCCCCTTATCTAATGTAACGTCCTGATTTTAGGTCACAAATAATGACATTACCGTAGAAAATCGTTTTAGAGAGCATTTCTAATCTCTGGATGTATTTAGTTACTTATAATATGTTTATTTTGGTTACAATGCTTGCTGTATGCTTAAACCTATTTGTCATCGATAGAATATGTTAGAACGAAACTTTCAATAGCCTTATTTACTATGATATATCTGATACGAATACATCTGCATTGCACTAAAACTATTTTGCTTCACTCTTCACTAATAGGACCAACGCTTTTCATGTAAAGCTTAAAATCGGTGAGTGACTTATATCAGAATGGTGTAGTCAACATAAAGGGTAGACGTGAATGATAAGCATTGAATTATTGCAAAAAGACGAACCTTTATATGCGAATTTAAAAGCGCAAATCACCGACTGCAAAAAATTGCGGTCTGTTGAGTTTGCTGATGATTTTGTACTGGTCATTTTGCCAATTGTTCTTTGACATTTCAAGTAAAGCCGAATTTCACTTGATAATTCGACTGAACTTCAATGGTATATGGATTAAACCGTATTAATATTAATAATTATAGTAAGCATATCTCCGGCCTCGCAGGCTGTGGGTGTATAGTACCCTTTTATCGGTCGATCGCCAGCTTCCAGCGGCTTCGTACCTACTGCAAATTCAATAGCAGTAATGTAACTTAAATAGACAACTTAATCCACCGCTTAGTAGAATGTCATCAGCAGGCTCAAGACCCTACTTGTCGAAAGCAGCGACCCTGATCAACGAGTGGGAGTGGCACGCCTAACTACAGACCGACAGAGGGACACGTGGTTCGGCGCGTGAAACCCTATATACACAGCCACACAATATGGGGCGACTTGGAGGTCGTTGTGCGGTGTTTTCAACTGGAAAAGCTTTGAGCTCAAGCAGAAGAGGAGACGCTGAAAGGCTTCATCAAACAAAATGCTCTAATGGATGACCTATAGCTTTATTACGACTAGGTATTCCTATCCGAAAATCAGAGGACAACAATGTCGATCCCCTTTGTGAATTTCGTGACAGCAAGTAATACAACCTCGAATAGCGTTTTGATCCAGGATGTCTGGCTTTACACTCCAAACGAGCCTAACGAGGGCACACTTATGGCCAAGGGGACCACCAAGGCTGGCCTTACGGTTGTCATACCAACGCTGTTTTCTATCGATGTCAGAACCAAAGAACTCCCAAATTAATTATTGACGTACAAGATCGGTAAGTTCCAAATTGTGCCAGCTCGGATTTTACCGCCATTTAACTCACCGCAGCTGCCACGCCTTCGGAGTTTGCTTTCGATGTCGAATTATAAGGACCAGTTTGAACCCTTCTAGAAACCGACGTGGAGATTAGTGCTGTCTCATCAGGTCCCGGGAACAGACCGCTACATGGTCTGCCCTGCGGGCCATCGGGCTGGTTGATGCTTAGCAGAACCACTTAAATGTTGCCGGAGAGTTGGAGTGGGAAAAAACCAGATGCAGGTATTTATCGTTGTCGACAATTCGGCCTTGACGTCATTCCTGACCGGCCGTTGCTAATTTTGTTCTGGCTAGAAATAAATTAGGTGGTGCGTTACGGTTGTTCTTTTCCTGTTTTGACCAACGAAGGCCAATTGATATCGCGGGCGAAGTTGGTAAATGAATAATCATTACCACCACGTTTGAGTTCCACCTATTACATAATGGCTTCTGACCCGAAAACGGAGTAGTCACTATGCGATATGGTCACTAATAATCTAGCACGCTCCATCTACCAAGAGTACCGTTTGAGATCCATGTCAGCAATAGCTCAAATTAGTACGAACATGGGCATCTGGTGAGCTGTTACGCGACGAGTTCGGACATCCATTGGAGAACCCAGAAGCTACTAATAACACGTTATATCAATCATACCGTACCTTTGATAGTCACCCTTTCTTGTACGCACATTCAAAAAAAATCACGTTAGCGCATAATACCAAGCATAGCGGATGTTACACAATTACGTGATGAAGTTCCCCTTCATTCCGTCCTGATAGAGAACGATGCGATCTGATTTTTCGCAGATTTCCGCAAGCTAAATCGGTCGCAAAAAAGAAACGTCTTTCCATTGATACGGATCGACGATGCCCTCGACGAGTTAGGGTGGGCACAGGTATTCTTTACCTTGGATTCGACGAGTGCCTGTTGGTAGATCCTGAATGTACCCGATGACAAATAAGATATTGCATTTTGTATTTTAGACAGTTTATATCCATTCAAAAGGATGCCTTTTAGGTCAGTTAATGTCCGGGTAACGTTTCAGCGACTATTATTGTATGTATTGGGTAAGCTGCAGTACCAGACGACCTTCGACAATTTTGATGATACCATCGTATCCTCTCGAAGGGTTCGAGAAGAATCTACACCATTTTCAGGAAATATCTGCCGTGAGTGCCTATGGTTTACACCTTAAGGCATCGAAATGTTCGTTTGCTATGCACGAGGTCGTACACCTCGGACGTTCTCCATTAAAAATCTCTTCTGATTTAGAGAAGGCTGTAGTCGTCCTAACGCCGCTATTCCTCCTCAGTCATAGAGTTACCTAGGACTGGTTTATATAGTGGTTTATATAGCCGCTGGTTTATATAGAACTTCGTTAAGACCACAAAACCATTATACGATTTATTAAAGGCGGACCTCCCTTCTGCATAGGCTGCGCGAATGCTCTGCCACGGCTATATGTAGCGACATAACAAACGGTGAGCGACGATGCTGGTTGGTAAGTGACGTTTACTGTGCATCAGCTGGCGAGCCCGGGTCCAGGCTTGATGGTGGCCACGCTCCAAAAGAACAGTCAGGCTGCTTTGTTGTTGAAGGATGCCAGCACATTTTTGCTATGGAAAACTACGCTGTAATATTGCGAGCCGCGGTGTCTCCGGCCGGTCTTCTGGTGATCTCTACCACAAATGCCATTTGCGCTTCAGACTACCCACCGGCTGACGTTTCGTTTCCTTTAAAAGAGGGCAGTCTGGCTGAGGATCCGGGAGTATGTTCGCAATTGAACATTGGTCAGTGAACGAAATTAAGCCATGAGTACCGTTTGGCTTAGGCACTTGCAGCATTGCCAACATACCCGTTCGCAAGGGTAAGTCTTGACTTTATAGGGTGCTAATGAAATTAACTATTGCACACGTTTTGCTCACCTATTTATGGCTCACTACGACAGCCCGGGCCTTAGTAAAGGCCGTCTGCTCTTAACTCCAGTACGGGGCCACGAACGCGATCGTCACGATTGACGCCAGCTACTTCCAGAGCTGGTGCGGATGGCAATATCTGGCGCTTTCTAATACTTGCACGTAGGGATCGCTGTAATCCACCCGCAAGAGAACGTTTTTCCAGGGCGGACTATCCGTACGGTCACGGAGTGCCATTCTGCACGCCTGCTATAATCTCCCGGCTTCTGCTACCGCGATGTTCCTCGCGGCCGCCTTCACAATAAAAGCTAAAGGTCAACGAGGCCCTAACCGCAACGAAATCCGAAATACTCTACGAATTTAAGACCATGCTGCCAGTGAAGCCGCCGAAGTTGCGATAAGCTCAAAACCCCGGTCGTCTGGTATCCGAACTGTGAAGCGGAAGACAAAATCCGGCTTTGCCGGCGAAGGCGGGTGCCCAAAGAAATTAATTCCCTGTGCTGCACACACCGGCCCAGGGAGTTAGTCTTCCTACGCCTCCCACGCCAGCACCCCACATGTCACGGAAGCTGCTGGCCAGGTTCGAGTTCGGGTGAAGTATCGAGAAACGAGTCTGTATAGTTTACAGAGCCACGTGCTAGCGTGTCACTGCCAACCTACGAAATATTGCAAAGGAGTACACGCGGAATAAGAGCATTCTCCTTGGTAATCTGGACACGTGAACGGACCTATACAACATAATTAAAATATTTGTATACTTCTGGTATATAGTACCCTTTCGCCGGCCGGTTAATCGCCAGTTTCCAGCGGTCAAAACTCGTCATTGCTGCAATATATAATTTTTCGAACGGCAAATACTTTAGAAACATCAGCATATAGTTTAACGTCGAAATAAGATTTAGAAAATAATTCTGTTAGAAAAACCCTATGCCCATACAATACGTTTGCAGAATTAAGTGTTCCTTCGACAACATATAGAGCCTAAAAGATTAGATCAGCATCTAATCGTTTCCATTATTTCGCAGAATTAATGCGCATAATAACGATTGTCCTACCGTGATTTTTTCACTACTCGGACTGGCTTAGCTGGCGTCCGACCTTCTTCTCGACCATCCTCCGACGACTTCTGTGACTGCAATAGAAAGACCACGTGTATGTAACCTGTAACTCTTTTTTATTGGGGATATCAATCAATTGGAAACGCAGATTCTTCAGTCTAAAGAATGCGGGATGCAGGTTTATCCTGAGCATGCCAGCACATAGTCAAAACAAGGAAAAATAGAGTGCGTTTCACTTAATCTATATGCTATATCACAGTCTGGTTTTTTTTCTGTACATCGCCAAAGGTCACGGTTGTGTCATTGCCAGGTCGACTGTACTCAAACGTAAGCGCCGGTGGATCTGTGTTAGATCCGTTGGACGCTTTTGAGATAATACGGTGCAATGTGTCTGGCAATTAATGAGAATAGTTTAGGTTTGAATCTAGACGTTAACATTTTGATTGTCTCCTAAATAGATTCGAGCAGCAAGACAGGCGATTTTTTTTTTTGCTTTTTCTAGGCGGTTTAATGCGATTGGGCTGGCTTTTAATAACGACGCTTGAGAAACGAGTTGTAGTGCGATATCCTTATGAGCAACTCAGGGAAAACAATTATAACACTATCTCGATTTCTTGGGAGCTACTTAGCTCCAAAATACATTTTAACGCATTATTCGTGCACTTATACGTCTACTTTGATATAGTAACACAATTGATTTCGGTAGTGCCCTAAGTACAATCCAGCGAACAATTCTTACTATGAACTTTTACAAAATTGGCTTGCTGGGTAGATGCGATCTCAATAAATCATTTTCTAAAAACATTTATGCATGTCATATATACTTTTAATGCCATAGACTATATAAATAGATGCAGGTGCGTACAGGGACCAACTATGGAACTGCTTTCCTTTTACAGATTAGTGAGTGTCTCAAAAATAAGTACTTGGAGAAATCACCTGTTTCAGAATTGTCAGTTGCTACACATGTTTATGGTGTGATTTTTATTCTTATGCTTAGGTGATCTTTTTATGGGCAGATAGAAGTTTTCGTAGTTGTCGACTGTGCATAAAAGGCACACCGAAAACGACATGCAGAGGTACTCAGTGATCTCACATTCTATCGGTAGTCATGTATTAATGGTTTTTATACGTTCTCAGAGTTGTTTGATTCTCCTTAGATATTATCGATTATTTAATGACTTCACAAACAACTTACCGCGGTCGACATTCCACTTCAGGTACTGCAACTCCTTTACCAACAAACACCTCGACCTCACAGTGCGATCAGACGATAAATTCACGCCCGGTCGTCTGTCGCTTGAGCGCGGCTAATTCAAATGTGGTTCCGTAAACAACACTTGCCTTCAAAATAATCACCATGTATCGAAAGATAATATTGCAAACTGAATGATAATTGTCTCGAATAGTTGACAAATAAAAATTTTATTATATAAGGAATAAGCCGCACCATGCTTCATCTGCGTTTGGAAAAATAAAGTAATTCTTACGACGAGTAAATGTAAGAATAGATTTTGCCAGCGGGTTATAAAAGTCTTTTTACGCTTTAAAGTATGTATCTTCAATTTTTTTTGGATAGTTCCAGCAGCTGCTGTAGGCTGATGAGGTATACCGCGACACAATTTAGTATTGCGTCAATACATTTTTCATCACCGGATCAGTTAAACATAAAGATGTATTTCTTATCCCGCTGTCTGCCCGTCATAATATACTCCTATTGTTTTTTTAGTTCACAAAGGTAAGCAGTTTAAGCGGGTCGTTCAAAGCAATGACTTCTCTCGGCTTACCCTGATGTTGAAAAGGTGCAGCCTGCATGTAAACGATAACGATTAATGTTCCCGATATATATCAACTCTGAGTAACGGTGCTCCCTATTAGATGTGAACGTGAAATCGAGATACTCGCTCAAACATGTTAAAGTCTAAGGACTTGCTGACGTTGTGGGGCCTTCGTATGAGCGCTATTCGCATAACATGAATGTATTATGGAACTAACCTATGGAATTAACCGTGTCGCGAAGACTGAGACTGCAAAGATCGTAATGGAGGAAACCGTGTCGGTCCAAAGGCAACTTCGATAAAGCTATTCCATTGCAACTAACTATAAAATCATTGTGGTAGACTTTGTTGTGTATGAATATATGAACCTACGATACAGTGAACTAATTTGTCGCGTATTCATAATGAAAAGATCATAGTTAAAAGGGCAATGCTTGTGGTCGGCTTTTTAAATGGCATATTGCTTGAAGGACCGCTTAAGAATTCCTTTGCAAGTTCGAAACAAAACTTAATTTTTGTTAAAGCTTTTCTAAAAAATCGGGTATAATTTCTCAAAATATCTTGTCAATTTTTTTTTTAATATTTCTCAAAATACACTCTATTATTTTAATTTGATATATTATACCCCCTCTTGTGTAAAGGCTTGGTCCTTAAAAAAAAAAAACTTCACAAATAAAACGCCACAGCGTTAATTACAAAGCGACCACGGAAACAGTCTTTAGATTCTCTAGTACGTTCTCGGGTACATCGACACCTGTTTCATGCGGACTCTCCTTGGGCGTCTAAGGCGCTGGACAAAAAAGATAGAACCAAACTTTGCAAAAAGCTCCTGTAAGAACGCAACAAACCTATCGCATAGTATACGACACTGTCGTAAGCATTGAGTCTTGGAACAACCGTTTTTAGAACGTCGTTGAAAATCAAGAAATTTACGTGGGTCATCTTTGATGGTCATATTTATAATAATGCCATTGCCATTCACCGCGACTACAGCTTCAATTGAGGATCTAAGATATTTAATAATCATTTTCAATATACTCCTTTTTTGATCGACAAATAACATTGTAATTCGTAAAGCGTTATTGGTAGGTCCGAACTTGTACCTTTTAAATGTCATCCAAACACGCTGCATACAAAAAAATCCCAACGAAATTATATTCTGGAGTTTAAATAAGGGCCAAATATCTTACGCATGCAACTGTTTAAACCAATAAAAAAGTCCTAAAAAATCAGAGGCTTAAAACTACCAAGATGTCTAAAAAGTGCGCAACACCGTAAAAAAGACTAGTTATCGGAAATTCTGTCGGCCAAAACGGCTGTTAATTTCTCTAATGGAAAATGTAAATGTATCTAAAATTGCTTTTAATCTATTTTGATAAATTTAGAGCTTTTTGAATCTAAAACCTATTGAGAACCTTCCCCAAATCACCTTTTATTTTTTTTTCTACGAGGGGACTGGCGATACAGTAGAAAGTCGATTTTTAGAGGTTTATGTAGAACGAAGAGATTGGATAATAGTTCATTTGCACTCGAATTGCGAGAACGATGCGTTGCTATGACAACTTTGTTTTATGTTCTATGAAGAAAAGCTTTCTTCTGACACCAACAATGGACGACTAAATAATCGCTATAGCAAACTTATGCAGCTGCAAATATTGCCGATTTCGCTTTGCTATATAAATAAACTTATACACGAGAAGTCTAGAGTATTTCTGCTCCAGTTCGAAATCAACACATGGCTGTAACTTGAAGTAGTCGACTCACCATAAAAAGCAGCGTTATGTACTTAGCGACCCTGGCACTAAAGACACAGAGGGGACCAGGTAGTGACCAAGACTTACCAGTGGTCTCCGGCAACTGCCAGAAAGAAGCCAGGCTATAATTGACCCTTTGTCTGACTCGCCTCGCCGAAGCAGCAGCCGCGCTTATGGATCGTAAGGTACGTCTAGGCCTAGACTCAGAGCCGTGAGACCTTTATTTGAAAACAATTCAAGCAATTATTTCACTGTAATACGGGACGGCGTGAATCATAAAAATGCACATACACACACACGAACAAACCAGCATTTAAGCACCTTGGTATTCTAGATGTGTGCTTCCAGTGTGTGACCAGTCTTTATTGCTAGTGACATCTCTATGCGTACCTCTGCTATACGTACGTCAACAACCAGCTTATAATGTAAACTGGGCTAGTCACATCATACAGACATATGATAGACAAATAATTGTTGAGTTATCCGTCTACTTTATAAAACGTATTGGTTACTGAACAAAATTATTATTTACGAGCTGGGACGGCGCGTTTTTTTAATTACTCGTCAATATCGGATAGCTACAGCTTATTTCAAATGTAAATCGTGCGTTCATCCGTACCTCTTATGGTCGAAATTTCCTTTTGTTGTGAGCGTAAATACAATTTAAAACATAACGGAAATTGCTAACCTTCTAAAGGTAAGGGGTTTACGAAATTATAATCGTGAGCTTAAAATTACCTTAGGTTGACTGCATTAACAGAGAAAGGAACTGGACCACGGACGGGGAAGAATGGCCTAACAATTACAATTTATACACTTCAGTAATTGTATCACAGTTGCGTTATTGTCTCTCTAGGATCTATCAGGTCTGGGCTCGTTTTGTATGCATTTCGCGTCAAGCAAAAAGTCTTTGTGAAAAAAATCCCAGGTCGCTTTCGCATCCTGCTGCTTCAATGACTGTTGTCAGAGGGATTCACCTGAGTGACCTAAATATGCTACGTGCCTCGGAGGATACGTTGTCTTTTTTGCACTAGAATATTACTGGAAAATTTCCTACTAATGATTCAAATAATTCCAGCCAGTTGAGTGGTAATTATCATTATTTATTTTTGTTTAAACCTGATTACTATACTTATTGCACTGATGGAGATGGAGAAACATCCGTGCCGCACACAAATAAACAAATGAGCCGATGTTTCATAATTATTGGGATAAACAGGCCCTATTTGCCCAACGTGTTCTCGGAGTCAATCGTACGAATACGTTAGTGGGCTTATGTGCAGGACTTGATAAAATATTCCATTTTTTTGGTAGCAGGAGGAATCAGCTACTTAATTAATGGAATTAGACATATATGTCTAATTCCAGCTAATAGTCCCGGATCACTCAATTAGTGGGACTTTGCCCGTTCATTTCGTCGTAAAACCTTCGAAGCTACACGGGAATATACGTAAATTTAGCAGCTATCACTTTGAAAAACCCGCGTCACAAATCGCCGTCTACTACCGTCATTTAAGGCCAGCATAAGCGCCCACAGTACCAACTGCCTTTAACTTTTTTGTATATACCTACTACCTCACGTATATTCACGTTTACCGCTGTTACGTGGGCAGCGTTTATTCTACTGATGTAAAGAACATGCCATGTCATTACGTGTATTTTATGTCAAGGTGCAATTCTCTTATGCAGTATCGTTCCGTATAAATTCTTGCGTTCTATTTTTCGTGTATACAGAAAAATGTCGTAGCCATTGAACTTCATAACGTTTCCCACAAACCGACCTAAACACTTTTGACCGGTACTACCCATAAATAGAAAAGGCAACCCTTATTATTAGTGCAACGCTTATTATTAAAGTGCTGAAACGTTTGTAGAGAAAGTTCTTAGCACTGTTCTTTACGCATGTTATTTCACAGTTTATTAGGAAGTTTACTTAACTCTAAACACAACACTTATTAAAATAACACACTTAATAAAAACTTTTTTTTTTTTTATAAAACTACTGATATTTTAGACGCAGCCGTTGCCACCGATGAGTTCAGGGTCAATGTTGCAAATCTTCAGCCAAATGGGTTGTGTTTGAGTTAAATCAGGAGGCATCATCCCTTTGCAATGAACAACTAAAGAAACTTCGTAGTATAATAAATGCACAGGTCTTAACTATAAACGCATAAAAGTGTACACACAATGCGCAACGTAAAGGTCGATAGAAAGGCAATGGAAATGTTTCTCGTACCTTTCGGTAAACCGGTCTCTGTACCTCCTATCAATAAAATAATGACAAGTGGTTGATGGTGAATTGTTTATATCAGGGTCATCAAGTTATTCTTAGTGTAGACATTTACTAGTTTAATCCCTTAAATAGGTTCAGTGACTGCGGTTATTTTTAATAAAATGATATTTCGTTAACAGAATGCGGCCGTATTCGGCCATAGGCATTGACTACTTATATAATCAACAAGATAAGCAATTTTTGTATTGCTAGCTTTTTAACACATCAATATCCACTAATATATATGACTTGATGTACTTCGCATCATTCGGAAAAAAAGTTGGATTTCTGAAAATCGTTAAGAAGAAAGCGCCTTAAAAAATGTTTAATTTACGCATATTACTTCCCTGCCGAAGTAATATTGTCCTTAAAATTCTCCAATACAGACAGTTTCCGTCACACAAAACGGTCAGACCAAAGCAGAGAGGTAAATACCCCGTGTATTTATCGCAGCGCGTTTCCGCTTTAGTGAGGAATAGAAATCGCAAGAGCCATTGAAT